AAGCTATGAGGAGTTGATAAGAAACTATTATGTTGACTGTGAACTTCTTTCAGTTATGAATTGAGTATTTTGTATTTGTTTGGTGTGTTTCAAATGAATCACATATGGTGGTATTTATAGAAATTTTCGAATCTGAGAATTTACTAAGAAATTGCTAGGAAAAGTAGGTACAAAATTTAAATTCGATATTTTCTATCTAATTCCTCTTAATTTCGTAGTAACAAAACTCATTCCTCTTAATTTCGTAGTAAGCAATTACTAGCAATTACTAGATTTTCGAATCTTACGTAACTTTTTTGGAACTAATTAAAACATATAATGTTTAGTTTTGTATATATTATATAATGTATAAATTATATTTTAATACAGTGTTTATTGCTATTTAATTAAACCCTAATACAGTGTATAAGCTTCTCAAAAAGTCAGGTAAAATTTTATGCATTATCAGACTTCTTTAAAAAAATTCTAGAAATGTAACGTAATTTTAGGGTTCGAGACTTTTTGAAAAATCTTCTACATAGAATATTTTTAATTTAATTAGAATTTTTGTCTTTTTATTAAAGAAAACTCGTATTTTGTTTTTCTTAAATGACTGCAAGCTCCTGTTCTTTTCATAATATTGATCAATCCAAAAGTATATCTGATGTCCAGACTAATCCCACAAAAAAAGTAAAGTTTACAGATAATTTTTTTTCTAGGTCTGTAAATAGACTGAAAGCATAAACATATATATGTATATGTCTAGAAATATTTACTCTATTAATTTAGATTCCTACTTTTTATCTACTTAAAATAGTTGTCATTTAATTTGGACTTATTCTCATTTCATTAGAAAAAGTATAACATTCATTATTATTAGATCTTATACTATAAAGAAGAATTTCCTTCCTCTAAGATGTTCCACGTCACTAATTAAAGGAAAGAGAACCTGACGCGTGTTTTTTTTTTTAATTAGAGTTCTGTTACTCTCATTTCGTGTTCGTTAGCTGGGTTTAAACGACTATTTAATGATTTCATTTTGTTTTAAGATAATGGGCTTCAACATTTTATTCGTTTGTGGGCTATGAAACACAAATTTTTCCTCACCAGAAAACCTAATATACGTCGGTCGTCGTTCTTACGTTGTTCTAACAATGGAAACTAGGGTTCTTGGTGTGGGTACCGAAATTCACGTACTGTCGATTTCCGTAAAATAAAGAAACTTAGGAAAACCCTAATTTTCCAGAGGAACCGGATCTCTGCGAAAGCCAACGACAAGTAACCAAATAAATGCGGAAAAATATGAAAAACATAGTAAAACGAATTTATAGAAAAAGTAGATCTTATTTCAATTTCGCGTAAGACCGTTGCGATCATTACAAGGGTTTACAAAGGCTTTGGCCGCAGGGCTGTCAGCGAGTTATCAACATAAAAACCCTAAACCTAATCGAGTCGCAGCTCGATAACAAAAGACGGAAAAAGATAAGAAAAAGGATTTAATTGATTTCGGACTGAACCTTATGAAAGGCTGCCTACGTACCCCTTTCGAGGATCAAGTCGAACGTAGTTCAGTTGATAGACCTGGACCAGAGATCGAACTGCCTGGGCGAGTTCGTCTAGTAATTGAGCGCCAGTCATAGAACCAAACTTGTCGAGAAAAAAGCCTAAGTTTCTAAGTGCGAAAAATTCTAAGTCTAGAAAAGTTGTAAAAGTCTCAGATGAGAGCTCTCAAAATCGCCCCTTGCTTCTGCCCTATGCCTTTTGCTTATATACTCCCTTCCTAGGTGGTTTAGTCTTTCCATTTCGCTCAAATTCGCGTTTATCGGGAATCTTCCATTTATCTCGATCTTTCTTTTTTTCCTGCGGAAATCTTCTATTTATCTTCAAACTTGCCATTTACCTTCAAACTTGACATTTATCTTCCTTCTACGGGTAAATCGTCAAAATGTCATCGTATCTTCGGGTTAGATTTCGTTAAGATCGCGAGATGGGCTTTTATCACGTTTTAGGACCTTCCGAGCCGTTTTGCGATAAATCCGTTTTCCGACTTTGTACGAGATCGTTTCCTGATCCGATGCCTTTTTTAGTAATTTCCCCGAGTTAATCGTAAAGTTTAGCTATGTTTGTTTTGTTCGGTTAATCGTTGCCGTTTTTACGATTCACTCGACGTTTTTATTAAAAACGCGTTTTTTACGATTTTTATGAAAAATCTCGAATAAATCGTATAGTTTAGGCAATGTTCGGTGTTTCGTTTAACCGTTTCCGTTTTATACGATTTGCTCGAGTTCTTTTCGAGAAAACAAAGTTTTGCGGTTTTTATCGTAAAACTCGAACGATAGGATGGATCGAGACGAAACGGGAAATATTTCGACCGTGGTTCGGAACATGATCGTGTCGAAGGACGTAAGCCTTGAATCGGGGATTTGGGAGATCGAGTACGATTCTTCGTATTTCATAAAATAATTTCTCGAGTTTTATAAAACGATTTCTCGAGTTTTACAAAAAGATTTCTCGAGTTTTATAAAACGATATCTCGAGTTTTGAAAAACGATTTCTCGAGTTTATAAAACGATCTCTCGAGATTTATAAAACGGAAACTTCTTTTATAAAACGATTTCTCGAGTTTTATAAGACGATTTCTCGAGTTTTATAAAAAAATCTCTTGAGTTTTATAAAACAGAAACTTCTTTTATAAAATTATTTCTCTAGTTTTATAAAACGAGATCTTGAGTTTTATAAAACGTATTTTTATTTTTACTTTTGCGTAGACTTTTCGCCATTGATTCCGTCGTGACCGATTTTGACACCAACAGTTAGCCACCCAGCTCGCTAGAATCTTGAGCTTCTAGCATAAGGTTTTTGCGAGTGGTTAACCAATTTTAGTTAAGTTAGGCGGAACTAATGGTTGGAAAGGTCCGTTGAGAGTGATCTTTCCATTCTCTAGGAAGCGGAATGCTTTTAAGATTAGGGTTGCGCCTTGTGAAGGCTGCCTACGTACCCTATTGAAGGGATCAAGCCTTTCGTAGTTTGTTTGGAGTTAAGGTTCGTATGACCTGTTTCGCAGTGAGACCTTTACAGTCTAGTTATGTGTCGTGTAGAAATTATCGAGCATATTGATGTCGATGGCATCAGTTTGCGTTTTTTTAAGACCGTGTTTTTATTCGTAAGAATGTAGCGGGAAGAATATGAGTTGATATTGAGGGAGGTCCGCAAGTTGTCGTCTCGCATTCCTTCTCCTTTGCGGATCGCCTTATTCGTTTGCTCGTTTTAGGATGTTTAGTAAATCGAGTGAGCGTTTAGATATAGACAAAGAGACATGCCTTTAGGATCTCGATTCATGTCTTGAGACGTTAGAGACCAGTGTGCTGGGTTTAGGGCAAGACCTAGGTTTACTTTCGGATTGAGGCTATGCAATGACTAGTCGGCTTTCGTCTTGCCCGTTGCGATTTTAACCTGATTCCATACCGATTTAGAATCCGCGATAGGTTATCGGCTTATACGATTTTTCTGGTTGGAACCAAGCATCTCACCGGGAACAATTTCTAAGTTGCCCGAAAGTGCTGACCAAAAGTTTGGATTTTAACCTCGCTTCTTCTATATATACCCCTCTTGCCTCCACTTCTTTTATTCTTCTCCGCGAAATCACGTATCCTCTCTCCCTTCTCTCTACTTTCTCTCTCTAGATTGTTTGTAAGATATATACGTATTGCCGGTCACGATGTGTCCCCGAAAGCGATTGACTCGGGAAGAGAAAGGGAAAGATGTAGCGCGAGACGAGACAACCGCGACTCGGCCAGTCTTAACACAGCGCAGAGACTTCTTGTCGTTGACTCGGAGAGAGAGTTGAGGGGAGAAGCTGCTGGTAACGAGGCTGCCGAGTTACTTGGTGTCTCGATTATAACCAGGAAT